TCCTTCCCGGGACGTCAGACATCTTGGGGTGTCAGCACTGTTTCCCAGGTGTGGGCCGATTTCTCGATTCCCCTTTCCGTTAATTCCCCTGCTGCCAGTCCTGACATTTTAGATAATTGCCAGATATATATTTTTTCCCCCCTGAACGCACAAACGGGAGGCAGACGGCCAGGTTTGAACCGGAGCTGCCGCTTACTGAGCGGCCGTGGGTAGTTCATCACCTCGGGGAAGTTACGGGGCTGCCGCGGGCGCTGCGAGGGTGGGGCGTGCGGCGCCCTGGCGCGTGCGCCCTGCGCGCTCAGCGCGATTTTGCGGAGGCGCCGCGTCCCTTCCTTTCCCCTCAGGCGGCCGGTGAGGCGGCGGCGGCCGGGGAAGTTCCGAGGCCTCCCCTTCAGGGAGTGGGCGGGTGTAGCAGGGGTCACGGGCCGGGGACCCCTTTCTGTGCTTGCGCAGTTGTGGCTGGAAATACCCGTGGTGGAAGCAGCGCCCCGGGCCGCCTGGCTGTGGGGTCTCCTCTCGGGCGGGCCGGGAGGCCGGGCTGAGGCCGTTACCGTTGCTCTCAGCGCGCCCTCTGCTCCAAAGGCAGGCAGGAGGCCGCTGGGACATGTTGCCTCCGCTGTCAGCGTGAAGCATGCAAACCTGTGAGGAGTTTTTGTGAGTTTATTTGAGCCAAACTGTTGACAATTGCCGGGAAGCCGAAACCTGAGCGGGTTGAGCTGAGGGAATGGCAGTTTTGCACCTTATTTTATAGATTTCAATCAAAGGGAGAGATGTAAGTGGGCCACATGAAACCCATTGGTGCTGGGTTAGGGGGAGAAAGCAAAGCTGGGAGCTCTGGTCCTGGATAAAATAAAATGACAGACACATCTCTTAGGTGGGTTGTCGACAGTTAACTCAGTGGCAATGAGGGCATTTGTGGTCTCCACAGAGCCGTCCAGGAAAAGGAAACTTTTCCAATGATACGTTATTTTAGATGCAAAAAAAAGACAATAGGCTCAGTTAGGGTAAAGGTTGACCTTTGTCAGGGAAGCTTCCAGCCTAGGACATGACTAACCACCATAAACTGCTTTTAGTTAAAATTTTAATTTCAGACCATCCTTTCTGGTTATTTTAATTTCAGACCATCCTTTGTGGTTATTTTGATTTCAGACCATCCTTTGTGGTTATTTTGTGTCTCTCAAGTTTGTTAGGCCCCAGGCAGGCCTCCCTGAGCCTGTCAGGTTCAGTTTGTGGCCCCTTTTCATCCACATGTTTAGGTGGAAACTGTGACAAGTACTTACCAACATGAGTAACAAGTCCTTATTCTTCCAGAGGGGAGTTCATTTTTGAAAATACAGTAATGGTAGGTCTTCCAGGTGAGAACCTGGTGAGTCAGGCTGGGCCGAATGGGCAGGACGAGGCTCTGCCAGTATCGCCTGCTTCTCAAGCACCAGCTCTGGGCGTGTCAGAAGGGCTTCTGAAAGTCTCTGGAGTGGCCGCAGCACTGTGTGAAAAAGGTGTTAACTTCCGGGGGCCTGTACTGCAAAAGAAAATACTAATTTGTACATAGGCGTTAAAGTGTTTCTTTGAATATCACTTTACTTGCCAGTCATTTAAGTTGAGTATTGATTTGGACTATTTATCAATGATGGGGATAGGCACTGTTCCCTCAAATACTTCGTGGTATTTACTGAGCACGTTATGTGGTAGTCGCGTGATAGACCTTGCCTGGAGCCTGTCAGGTTCATAGAAGATCAAAGACCAAATAAATCAGATTTTCTTTATTGAGTTAACACCTAAAGGAGGAAACTGTATTCTCAATAAAGTGCAGCGCAGCGCAGGCTAGTTCCCTGTGGCTTCTGAGCCTCATATTCACCTAAACTCCACCCTGTGGTGGTGGTTGGACTGGGATCTGCAAACTCCACCTCCCAGCCTCCCTTGTCAGGTGGTTTCCCTAACATTCTGCAGAAGGAGGCACAAGCAGGGAGTCGGAAGGTGGGACATGGGAAAACTAGTGTTCATTTCTTTTACTCTGCTTTCTGGCAGCCTAGGGAATGGCTGTGTCCTTCATAGGATCCCAGCGACAGTTGCAGCAGCCCCTCCTTGGTGGTCCTGTCTTCCCTTTCCCACCCTCGGCGGCACCCCAGCAGTGAGTTTGCTCTGGAGCTCTGATAATTAAAAGGCTCCCTCCTGCTCTGTTCTACCAGCTCTAGGGTGGTAGCCACTTCCTGCAAGTAGGAGTTTCTAATTTAATCTTAGGGTCCGCCTTTCGATCTTCTAGCCTTTAACACCTCTGTACACGGTTCTGGTAAAAGCTACCTGTTTAAAATTCCTTAGATTTCTGGTTTCCTACCTGGAACCTAGACTGACAAGGATGCAAATGGCTATTACCTTGTAGTGTTTACAAAACCACTGGAGTCAGCAGAGGGCTTTCAGTTTTCACAAATGCAGGCCCAACTCTGACCACGCCTGTCAGTAACATCTGTTTATCAGCACACATAAGGGCCAGCAGGGGGGGTGTGCGCTGGGAGGCAGGGAAAAGAAACTTGGGAGATCTCCATGTCCTATTCATACTCTTAGAAAAAGCAGTTTCTTTCTAGGCGTTTATTTTAAGGGAGTAAGGAGAGAGCTGTAATTTATTCATCTCCCTTGAAGGTACTTGAGAATGACTCCAAACCTCTGTATCCCACTGCCTATTGTACATCTTACTAGAACGTCCCTCACAATCTCAGACTTAAAATGGATAAAACTTACATTCGTCATTTACCCCCCATCCTCTCAAAAAAATCAATTCACCTCTGTTAGCGTTTCCTGTCTCAGAGTATAGGGTCGGTATCCACCCATTTTCCTGAGCGAGGAGCACTCGACCTCTCCCTCAGCCTCCCCGTCTCAGTGTCAGCAGCCCCTCTGCTGCTGCCGACACAGGCATTCTCCCACCCACCCTCTCATTTCTATAACCACAGCCCATGGATGGTGTGCATCCTGGTTCGTATTCTCATTGGCCTGCTGCTTTCCAGGCCATCAAATTCTTCCTAGAAATTTGTGGAAAACTATAATTACGTCTTTCCAGCTTTGCCCCAAAACTTTTATGTCAAGGGTAACACTGTCCAGTAAAACTTCCTATAATGATAGAAATATGCTACCTGCACTAACCACTGTAGTAATCACTAGCTATGTTTAGCCACTGAGCACTAGAATTGTGGCTCCTGTATCCAGGAGCTGATGTTTTAATCATTAATTAAACTTAATAATTAGCTGTATCTTGGTGGTAGCTACCCTACTGGATGGCACACATCTAGGTTGAGCAGGGATAAAGATCTTTACCACTTAGCATTATATACAATCCTCTGCTCCCTGCTCAGCCTCATTCTATTGTTTACATACCTGATCTTCCAGGCTTATTAAAATTTTTGTCTTTTTTCCCCAAACATCATGACTTTTTTTAATCTTCACCCAAGGAGTGAGGATATTTTTTCCATTGATTTTTTTTTTAGAGAAAGTGGAAGAGGAGAGAGAAACATCAATGAGAGAGAGACACATGGATTGGTTGCCTCCTGCACATATCCCGACTGGGCCAGGGATCAACCTGCAACCCAGGTATGTGATCTTGACCAGGAATCGAAACCCATGACTCTCCAGTGTGCAGGCCAGTGCTCTAACCACTGAACAATACTGGCCAGGGCAACATCTTTCCTGTACTTTTTATGAATATATTTGGGTAAGAGAAAAGTCTCCTAAAATAAAGAAATAGGCTTTAAAATGACTTTTGAAAACAAACACTATTTGGTAAGCAGAACTTTTCAGGAAAGCACTTAAGATGAAATGAATGTCAGAGTCTGCTGGTAGCTTCTGCTTTCTCCCAGTGCTTTGTAAAGAACAGGCGCTCGATAGATGTTTGCTGATGAACCTGTTCATTGAGGTTAAGTAACTCCCTACCCTTCCTGAGCGTTATTGGAAAGACTGTTGTGAGCAGAGTGTTGGGAGGGAGAGGACAGTTAGCATTCTGCATCCTCCGAGGACATGCATTCATAGCCACTAGGTGCAGACTGTTTTTCAGTCTGTTTTATTGTGCCCAGCAGGACAACTATTAAGGTCTAGAGCAGCTGTGGCTCAAGGGAATATTTCAGAAGCTCTGTGTGTCAAATAAATAGACTATGTAAGAAATTTGGATGAAGTTTGTTTTTCTCATCAGTTGTCAATAGGTTTTTAAGGGTATGATATATAAGAATATTTTTAAGACATTGGTTTCCTGGAATATAAAGTAAGGAGAGTTATATTTCACATACTACATGTTAATATCAAATAGAAACATGGAGAAATTTAATACATTTGATTTTAGGGGAGAAGTTGCACAAAACATGTCTAATATCTTTTTTTATTGAATCTATCGGAGTGACACTGGTCCATAAAGCCATACAGATGTCAAGTGTAGAGCTCTGTAACATGTCTACACACTGCACTGTTTACTCACCACCCAG